AATGTGGCCCTTTAGAATGCCTTTTTTAATCTTTTTCTGTAGTTTCCAAATTTCTCTGGTCAACATGTATTATTATTTCAACAGCAAAAAAATAGTAACACAGTCAACTCAGATTCAAGTCTTATTTTGAATGGCTGAATCTCATTCTTAAATCTAAGCAATGTGAATGGAAAATTTTCTGTTTTTTCATGGCAAAGCCTCTAGACTAAAAGTTGCATGAGAGCCAGAAGCAAATCGATCTGCTCTTTGGTACCAACGCAACCACAGTGCTAACACGCTCAAAATTCAGTATATTATCATCTACTACACTGTTCTTAAATATCCTGAATGACTTGAGTGTAATATGATCTCCACCTAAAACAGACCAAACTCCACATATAATCTTTTAAAACAACAGTCAGTGAAAAGATAAGGGGCTTTAAAGACAAATATAACTGAGCATGATTCCCAGTGCCACCATTTTCAAGCTATGTCACACTGGCAAGTAACTTAATCTCTCTAGGCCTTCTTTTCCTCATACTCAAAATAGGGATTTTTATAGGATTTCTATCAGTGCTAGATAATGTATGAAAAACGGCCACCACAGAGCCAGGTACATAGTAGATATTCAACAACAGTAGCAACTGTGACTATTATAAGTAGTTACCATCTACATAGCAGACATCCTTAATGTAGGACAAAAGTAAAGACAGGAGGATGTCCAGGCGTTCAGCAACAGGATGTACCATCTGATCGAGCCTTTCGGGATCAGCCTTTGTTTCATGTTCAGTTTCTACGTCTTCGTCCTTTGAAGATAATGTAAAAACTGACATTAAAAAATTCGGCTAAGTAGTCTAGTGGGAAAATTCTTAGAAGTACTTATTTCCTTTAAAGGGTAAAACAAAGAAGATATATATACACCGTTCCAGGTAGGAGCTCTCAACCAGAGATGTGAATCAGATCCACCCATGGAATTCAAAAAAAAATAACGGGTCCAGAGCCACAGCCTCTGATTCTCATCTAGAAGACCCACATAGAGGGTGGCCATGCAAACGTCACAGATTTCCCCAACTCCTGGCACCCACTGTGAACCCAACTTAAGACATCGCCCCAGGTAGAGAAGTCCCGTGTTAAGGTATACAGCTTGTAAATAACAGAAATTAAACTAGAATGTTCCATTTATCACTTCTTCACAAACAATATAGGGTTTACAAACACAAACAGAAAGAACAAACGGAATAAAAGTGCAACGTACTTTACCAAACCCAAATTCAAAGCCTTGGAAAAAGACCAAACATTGCAAAAAGCAAGATGGCAGCAAACTACTTCATTTAAGAAATCAGTTTCAAGTTTGATGAACTACTAAAGCTTTGAAGAAGATGTGACACCACTAGCTGTCTGCCCACCCTCTGGAATTATGAGCAGTGCACATCTGCTTTCATTAATAAATGCTGACCATATTAAACAGGCCTTCTGTGGCATCTGTTCCAGTACTAGTTTGAGTTGCTATTTCCTCAGCATCTTCAATATCCTGCCGGGATGCATTCACCTATGTTTTAACAAAGAAAAAAAATAAAAACATTTAAAATACAACTAAGTTTTGGGGGGAACTGGAAATTCATCGAATACACATACTTTAAAGGTATCCAGCTTAGCACATAAGTCATTACACAATTAAAGTGCAAACCTATCAATTTGTCTGGGTCATGAAAGAATTTTAAAGATTAGAAATCAAGTCCCTTTATTACATACTGACACAAAGTCAATATCAACTGTGGTATTAGTTTAAATCAGACAGCTTCAACACACTCAACATTTATTCCAACACTAAATGTACTCTAAAATGTTCCTTCAGTACAGACCAGAGAAAGACCTCACAAAGATTATGTATGCAGCTGGCCGAAGAGGTTTAACTCCAAATGAGCAACCAGGTGGACTGCCCAACCTCCAGCTCTTCCTACGCCTGCCTTGGTACATCATCCTTCTCCCTTACAGTATCAATGGTCTCCCCCATCAACTCATTTCCTCAGTCCACACACCTTGTCTCCCCCAACCCTAACATATGCTTCATCCCCTCTTTACACCTTAAACTCTCACCGAGGTCTCTAACAGCCCCATTTCCTATCCATCCACACTCTCCTGAAATGCAGTGTCCCCTTCCACACTGACAAGGCAACAGATGACCTCCATATCACCAAATGCAACGACTTTTGCTTTCCTTTCTCTTTAAAAATGTCAGCAACATCTCATGCTGCTGACCAAACCCTTCCTTCTTCCACATCCTCCCTGCACGTCCACACTCGACTTCCCCCTCACTTCCAATCACACTTCCTCTCTGTCCTGTCCTAAACGGCGTCATTCCACAGGTTTGTGGCTCAATCCTCACCCGCAGGCGCTACAACTGCCTGCTGAGTATTCACCATCTAGCTTGCCCGCCTGCACCTCAATCCATCCAAAATGGAACTCATCTTCCACCTTCCTTCTGACTTTTCTTACTACTGTTAATGGCAACACCAAGATTCTGTTCCACAGGCAGCTGTCTCTGAAGGCCTCCTTTCCCCAGCCCCCTCTTTCTCCACTTACAACCTAGTCCCAAGGACCAGTTTACCTCTCCTCCACAATGTCACTAGAATCCACCACCTTCCTTCATTCCCACTAAACCTGACTGTAGGCCTCTATAAGGAACTTCAACATCACCTCCGTAGGAGTGCCTTCCCGACTCCCGACTGCATCGGGTTTTCCAGCTCATGATAATGCACGTGTTCCACTCACAACATTTACCACAACTGTACTCTTACATTGGTATGACTATCTAATTAACACCTTGTTCCCCAATGACAAGACAGGACTGTTTATAACTCCTAGTACATCAATGAATTTCAAGAAATGCACAGAAATGAATCAAAAGTGAAACTGTGGATACTTTTCCACTGCGGTTACTATTGTTTCACGTGCTGATTATAACAAATATATTTAATAAATGAAAATCAAGATTATTAAATACTTACATCCAACTTGAGTAGCTTTTCAATAACAAGCTCCAGAATTTCATGCCTCAAGGTTGGAAAATACACACTAATCCTTAGTAAGTTATGAACATAACATTCCTAAAACATAAAAAGATAAACATTTCAACACAGAATAAATGCTTCATAGCTGTGTAAGAAAAGCATCAATTATACAATCTTTAGTTCTAATTATTTAAATAGAAAAAAAGACGACCCAGTAACACAGAAACCATACTATTTACATACACGGTTTCTCCGTCTGTTGCTGTGTGGATGGGGAGAGAACACTGCAGTCCAGTATCATTAACCTAATTACATCCAGTAAACTAAATTTGTAATTTGAGTTTTTTAAAACAGGTTTGTTGAGATATAATTCATCTACAATTCGCCCATTTAGAGTGTACAAGTCAATGGTTTCTAGTATATTCAGGGTTATGCAACCATCACCACAATCAAGTTTAAAACATTTTCATCATCCTAAAAAGAAAATATATATATATTTTTAGTAAAGTATCCCCTGAATCCACAGCTCTAAGTGATTACTAGTAACTTTCTGTCTCTATGAATTTGTCTAGTCTATACATTTCACGTAAGTGGAATCTTTTTCTAATAAAAAAAAAATTTTATTATTAATTTTGAGTATACAGTACATTGTTTAGACATTTATATAATTTATACAATGATCCCGATTACTCTCTCTCTCCCCTCTGGCTCTCCACCTAGCCATTACATTACTGTTGACTGCATTCCCTATGCTGTGCTCTCTGTCCCCATGACCATCTATCAACTACTAATTTGTACTTTTTTAACCCTTCATTCCTTTCTCCTTGCCCCCAATGCCTCTCCTCTAAATGGAATATTAAAACATATGTTTTAACATAATGTTTTCAAACTCAATTCATGTTATAGTAAGTAAACCATTCCTTTTAATTGCCAAATAATATTCCATTGTGTAGACATACCCTGTCTATACAATTTCATCAGCTGATAAACACTGGGTAGTTTCCATATTCTGGTACTATGAATGCTGCTGCTTTCAACTTTCATGTAAGTTTTGTGTGGACATGTTTTCATTTCTCTTGGGTAGACACCCAGCAGAAGAAATGCTGGGTCATAGGGCAGTTGTTTAACCTTTCTGAGGACCTGTCAGACCGTCACAATCCGACCAGCTGCACCACTTCCCATTTTACATTCTCACCAGCAATGCCTAAGGGTTCTGATGTCTCCACATCCGCACCACCACCTGTTATCATCTGTCATTTAGAGCGGCGGTCCCCAACCTTTTTGGCACCAAGGGCCAGAGCTACTCTGAGAATCTAATGCCTGACAATCTGAGGTAGAGCTGAGGCAGTGCTGCTAGCGCCGGGGAGAGGCTGCAGACACAGATGAAGCTTTGCTCGCTCGCTTCCTGCTGTGCGTCCCAGTTCCTAACAGGCCACAGACCGGTAACAGGGGTCCCCTGATTTTGAAGACAGCCATCTAGTAGGTACAAGGTGGTATATCTCATTGTGGTCTGACTTGCATTGCCCTATGTCTAACAGCAAAGAGCTTTTCCTATGCTCAGTGGCCATGTGTATGTCTGTTTTGTAGAAACACCTATTCAGATCCTTTGCCCATTTTTAAATTGGGTTATTTACTTTTTTATTATTGAGTTATTAAGAGTACTTTATTCTAGATATAACCTTTATGAATATATAATTTGCAAATATTCTCTCCCATTATTTGAGTTGTCTTTTAACTTTCTTAAGGGTGTCCTATGAAGCACAACAGTTCTTAATTCTGATGAAGTCCAATTTATCTATTTTTTCTCTGGTTGTTTGTGCTTCAGGTGTCATATCTAGAAATTGTTGCCTAATCCAAGGTCACAAAAATTTTAACTCATGTTTTCTTCTAAGTTTTTTTTAGCTTTTACATTTAGGTCTTTTATCCATTTTGAGTTCATTTCTGCATATAAGGAGGGGTCCTAATTCATTTTTTACATGTATATCCACTAGTCCCAGAACCATTTGTTAAAAAGACTATTCTTTTCCCCATTATCTTTTACAATTGGTTTTTCTATGTTGACCTTATATCCTGTAACCATGCTGAACTCTTTTATTAGCTTGAAGACTGTTTTTGTTGATTCCTTAGGATTTTTCTACATTAAGATTATGTCACCTGCAAAAAGAAGTGGAACTTCTTCCTTTCCAATCTGGATGCCTTTCTCTTTTCTTGCCTAACTGCTCTGGCTAGAACCTCTAATAGAATACTGAACCAAAGTAGAGAAGCAGACAGCCTTGTTTCATTTCTCATCTTAGGGGAAAGCTTTCGGTCTTTCACCTCTGTGTTTTTCATAGATCTCCTTCACCAGATTGAAAAGTTCCCTTCTGTTTTTATCATGAAAGGGTTTTGGTTTTGTCAAATGCCTTTTCTGCATCTATTGAAATGATCGCGTAGGTTTTGTCATTTATTCTACTGACATGGTATGTAATATTAATTGATTTGGGGGTATTAAATCAACCTTGTATTCCCAAGATAAACTTTACTTGGTCGTGGTGCATAATTCTTTTTATATGTTGCTAGCTTCAGTTTTCTAGTATTTTGCTGAGAATTTCTGCATCTATACTTATAAAAGATACAAGGTTTATAATATTCCACTTGAAGTAGACTATCACAAACATTAACAAAATTTATCAACTCTTTATTTAATACTTACAATACCTTCCTTAGGAAAAAACAATCTATGCTTAGGCGAGAACCACTATTATTAATTGAAAACTACACAAATGATCTAAAACTCGAAAAAGAAAAAGTAAAAAACTTAAAAAGAATTCATCTATAAAAGGCTCTGCTTTCATATTTAAATAAGGCATGTTTACAATTAGGAATATATGAACTAGTATCTTCTAGTAATCTTTATCTGTAATAATCGAGGCCTTTTAGATGTTACTGAAATGGACCCTGACCTTGGTTTGCACATAGGAATAAAAGGCAGCAGCACTGGGGACCCTAATCACTTGCTAAGGAAGGAATATGAGTCAAAATCCTTAGACCTAACATCGTTTAAAACTAAATCACACAAAATGGCCTTTCCATTATTTTCCTCATGAAAAGATTTCTTACCAATGTTCTCTCTGATTTTCGAACAAATGGAAATTTTTCCACCAGGATTGGCATAAGAAACCATGGTGTCCTAGTTTAAAAAAAAAAAAAAAAAAAAAATCAATGAATTCATGTCAACTGAGTTTCTTAGAAGGTAACATTTCCATTCTAAGAGCAAATATAAATACGAGAGGCAAATGGTTAAGTCCTACCACAAGCAACTGGAACTTAAATGCATAGCTTTGGAGAAAATCTGTAGTAACTTAGGAGAAAATAAGCTGCTACTAACTTTGGTATCAATAGCACATTAAAAGGGAATTTGTTCTTCTACAAAAGCAGTAAACAGCATTAGTTTAAAATCTAAACATTTCCTACTACACACAGATACTGTTTTAGAAAGAAGAAAAAATGATCAACTTGGGCTTTTTTTTTAAGTTAGCAATAAACTTACAGAAGGTACTCAGGTCGACCCCCTCACCTAAAAGCTTTCCTTAAAACTTCAATTTTTATTTATATGGCATGACACAAACAGTGGTTTCTCACTGAAAATTTTGGATATCTTGACAATAAAAGCGAATTCCAACACTATACATAATTTGGCGGAGAATTTGCATACAAGTTTTAAAAAATAAAAACAATGAATAGAGAAGTGAAATGCCATTTTTTTTTTGCAGACTGAGAAGTTACATCAACAGGCTACAAAAACATGCAGGATACAACTTGAGTTTGAATGCTGTGAACATTCTGTAATTTTCTACTAATTGATTACAATTTTCTTGAGATTTAAACATCATTATTCAAACTTAGTAATAAAAGTATACTCACGAAGGGACATATCTTGCTATTATTTGCAAGGCCCTGTGACATGTGTCAAAATTTGCAGGAAGATCTGTAAGATGAAAAGTGAAGAGTATGAGCAACAAAATAAAATTGAAAACTAAAAACGTACGTACTAGAAGCTAAAACCATGTGCTAACCAAACTGAATTACTTATCAGGAGAAAAATAATTTTGAAACTTTTCTCCATAGCCAACTATCAATGAAGACTAAATAAACTAATTATATAAGTAATGTATTAAAGGCAACTGATTGCATGTTAGTGCTCAAAATAACAAAGATTCCATGAAAGGTTGCCTCTTGCTGCAGTCTAACTATTAGAATAGGTACTGGAGTTGCCAGTAAACTTGATTATTCAGCATGCATTCTCTAAGAAACAGCAGGCATCTTTTGCTTACATTTGCTTGATACTTACTATCATCTTCGTCATCAGAATCTGAAACATCTATGTCACCTTCCTTAATGACCACTCGGGCTTTTGAGGGAAAAACAAAATATGTTAGTTATTCTTCTATCATTGACTTAAGCAAGCAACAGCTACACAGAAAAGTGATTTTTCCATTGTCCAAACTAGTACAATGATTAAATTTACAATCGGGAGATGTGGAGGGGAGTCAAATAACTTTACAGTTTTGAAACAGCTAAAATCTCCTAAGTTCTAAGACTTTGTAAGAAGCTCACTAAAAAATAAAATTGCAATCCATAAAAATCACAGCAGCAAACAAATCTAGACACTTCCACAGAGGTCATTATAGGGAGCAGACATGGACCAGAACTGCTACCAACATGCATCCTGGAATACTCCATGGTGGCACAAACTCCAAAGTGTACTGGGAAGTACACTTTAATAAAGAGGTATTTAAAAAGTACAAAACAAAAAGCAAGCAAAGAAGAACCACTTACGAGGTACAAAATGAGAAGCAATCATGCTTAGACATGGTCTAAGGAAGACAGTCTGTGCTGATACAAGATTACCAAGAAAAGCCAAATACTCCTCCACCACTGTCTGACTTCTGTTCAACCACTGTAATCTCTAGAGACAGAAGGAAGAGAAAGATAAAAGAAACATTTTACTGCCACAACATATACTATTTTCAAAGTACTAAATCATATATTCGTCAGAGAAATAAATGGTGAACTTACCAAGAGAATACTGATAAGCTGCTCGAAGTCTTTGGTTAAGTACATGATGGAGGAACGGAATTCCAGCAGCCAGTTAATGATCTGGTCATCCTTAAGTTAAACAAAGAAAGGTACTCTGAAAATCACAAATCTTTGAAAACAACAGAGAAAGATGATATCTATCTTGTATGAATCATCTACTTATAATACTTAAATTAGATAAAAATACACACACTTGGATTTAGGCCAAAATTTCTTAGTTTGTATCAAACTGGAAAAAGATGTTACAATAAATTTTCCCATTTTAGAAAAATAAAATGTAATGACTCTTATATACAAGAAAAATAATTAAATGCAATATTTCATTCTCACTGTTTGCCCTAAAAAAGTGAAAAAAACCTCAAATGTTGATACCTGGGATTTTTTAAAACTACAAAATTATAGCAGATTCAGATATTATGAGACCACAAGGCCCCACAGGTATCTCCATCTCTTCAATAGTCGTGCTGATGTGCAAGCATGTTGATAACATTCCATCTCAGCTTATTCACTAGTCGTAAATGAATATAAGTTTTTCTCAACCCAACCTGTAACTGAGTTTAAACGTATTAAGATGTATATTAATATAAACAATGGTTCCACTACTCCCTGAAATATTTTTCAGGCAATAAAATTACTCTTCACAACTTTTAGTGACATGGAAAAAACTGCTAAATAAAAAAAAAAAGAAACAAGCCATGAATAAAATATAATACCAGTTACGTAAAATAAAGATACTGTTTGTATTCATGCATATATATAACATACACGATAAAATAAAAGCCCCTATCTTTGAAAGAAAATGGTTAATGCTAATTAAGACTCAGCAGAGGAAAGAAATATAAACAAAGCAATACAGTGTGGTACCTATAGGAATAGACTATTAACAGACAGAGTTGTACCTCCAGTCAGAGACTACTTATAAGGAGTAGCATTTAGTGAGATCACACCAGGTGCTGCGCATTGTGCTCAATGACATACATATATATTTCTTCCTAATCCTAACAACGCTGCAAAAGGATTAGTGTTATTCAATTTTATAGTTGAGGAAAATGAGGCAAAGAGAATTTTAATAAACAACCTAACCAAGAAGCCAATTAAGAACCAGGTTCAAGTGGGTCTGTCTGTGTCAAAGCCTATGCCCCGCCCACTCTCCCACAATGCCCTGATCCACCTGTTCTCAACTTTCATTCAACCACTGAGTCCTTTCTATGAGCTATGTGACTAACTTCAAACTTCAATGGAATTGACCATTTTCTGATGAAACACCAAGTAAGCTGGCAGTAAAATTAAATCACAACTTATTTTTACTACGATAATTTCATGTCCACAACCGTTAAGAGTAGCATTAATGGTGGCTCACCACTGCATGCAGCAGAGATGAGCTAAGTTAGTGCAAATAAAAAGGAGTTAGCTTGATCCTATCTCTTTTCCATTTAAAAAAAAAAGGTGTAACAAAATTATAAGGATAGCATTTAAACTGCTCCATTTTTTAAAGTAAACCAGTCACAGACTTTGTTGCTTTAGAACTGTACTATTATCTGAAGCAAATTTCTTGCAACACCCCTCTGAACTAACATGGACACGACTCATGTGATATCAGTATGTCAAGATGCCCAAATGGGAAGTGCTGATATAAAATACAGTGGAATACAGAGAAAATGGTCCTTTGTACCTGTGGAAGAAAGCAAAGGTCAGGGAAACTTTAAGCGGGAAGTGATGCTTCTACTGTCTTTAAACAGTGAGTATTCTCTGGGGGCTATATTCTTTACGGAGAGAAAATTACATTTTCAAACAACCAAAAGTAGTTCAGTATGGCTAGAGTATATAATGAGCAAGCCAACAGATAAATCTGGGGAGCACTGTGGAGCCAGATAAGTCACTGAAGTCCCTGCAAGCTATATCTGCAATTAGAGAGATCTGCTGGAAGTGTGGAGAATGGACTGAACGAACCACCATGTGCTGGAGAGAACCAGGAAAAGTTCCATTAGAGAAGATGACATTTCAGCTAGACATCAAAATCTAGAAGTTTTGTAGATTACAATAAAAATCAGACAGTCCGACTTACGGTTTGACTTAAAATTTTACGACTGTCCAGTAGTGAGAAAGACATATACATTCAGCAGAAACAGTACTTCAAATATTGAATTTTGATCTTTTCCCAGCTAGCGATATGTGTCACAATGCTCTCATGAAGCTGGGCAATGGTAGCGAGATGATTTTGCCCAATTATAGGATAATGTAAGTGTTCTGAGCACATTTAAAGTAGGCTAGGCTAAGCTCTAGTATTTGGTAGGTGTATTAAATCCGTTTTTGACTTACAGTATTTTCAATTTATAATGGGTTTATCAGGACTTAACCCCATCTTTAAGTCCAGGAGCACCCGTAATAGTAAATGTTAATATAGTACTTCCTTTGTGCCAGGCACTGTTCTAAGACTTTAACATTCATTTAATTCATTTAATCCTTACAACCACTCCATGAGGCAGGCACTACCATTGGCTCCCATTTTATAGAGAGACAGTGAAGCACAGAGTGTGGTAATCTGCCTTTGGCCACAAAGCTTAGAAGGAAGGGAGGCCACGTAGCTAGATACAGAACACCTTTGCAGCCAGAAAGAAAAGGCATATACAAAAGCATAAAGATAAAAAAAGTGGCAAATTCATGGAATAAAGTATCTGGTGAGGCTGAACGTAAGAAAAAATGTTACGAGCCATGCAAAGAAGCTGGTCTTCTATTCTTCAGTGGGCATGAAGTTTTTCAGTAGGGCAATGGCATGTTTAGCATGTGCTTCAGAGGTGATTTAGGCTGCGCTACTGAGGATAGAGAGGGAGGGAGAGGAGAGAG